TCCAAACATTTGAATACATTTTGAATATAGTAACAAACAGTGGGGCTCCAGAAGTATGCGCACCAAGATGTCGCACAGCCTGAATCCTGACCGGTACACACATACTATGTTCAGGTTGTGCGCTATCTTGGTGCGCATACTTCTGGAGGTCCCAATTTTTTTGCTTCCTCCAGCGATAACTTACATTTAGGATCGCCATACATTTTCGTCACACCTTTCATTTCATCTTCTGGCATGCGGAATTCATCAAAAGTACCGAGGTACCGATAATAAGGTGCCATGACAGCTCTAAAATACATATTAAAACCACAAATTAGTCATCTATAATGACAGATAAAATGAAATTTGGCAATTAGTTCGAAAAATTAATATAATATCATACTTGTCGTCTTCGGAATGTAGTAAACCAATGATGTGTCCGAGTTCGTGTAACGCTGTAGTGTATACGTCTTTCTTCTTACGATCCTCTAAAATATGGAAATATAAAAAAATTATTTCTGGTACAATTACAATTAAGAAATAGAGAAATTTATAACCAATCATATAAATATTGTTTACGGGTTGCGTCATGCACTGATTACATCATAAGTAAACATTGAGTTGTAACGAAAAATGGGTTTTTAATGTAAAGATTCAAATCGTAGAATTTTTGTATTATTATTTACTTACGTTTTTTATCTGATGCCAAATACCAGGGTTCTTGGGAGTCGAAATGCAGGCGACCGTCTTCAGGATAAAAAGCATGAGCTAAAGTACCGCCATTTCCGTCAAAGGAATAACCATCACCGTGATCACCTGATAAAACAACAAAAAGAGGTAACAGAATTCATTTTTGCAAGGAACAACCAATAAGAGAGATAAAAAAATATAATATTTACCTTTTTCAAAAGTGATACTGATATCAGCATTTTTCTTCCCGAGTCCGATATTTTTAAAACGAATGTTTGAAATCTCTTCCCATGAGCACATAGCCAATGTAACGCCTTTTTTGAAACTTTGAAATTTCAAGTCTTTCGGTGTCGACCGCTTTGGAAATCTGAAATACAAATTTAAAGCTGTGAAAATTTTGTATGTGTCATGAAATTCAGTTAATGGTAACAATATTAAATTTGAAACAATGGTCTATTTTTTAATAGGTCTTGCCTAAATCCGGCCAAATCATCACAATTTGAAGTTTAGAAACCTGAGATTAGTTTAGCTGACTTGGTACATTTGAAAGTGGTAATCTCCTGAAAAATGTGATGTATTTTTTAATCATGTTTGGCCAAATATTACTGATGGAAAGTTAAAAATGTGCAAGAAAAACTATTTTGAAATGTTTGTATACATGCCAGAGGGGTTATTATCAGTCGAACAAGACTCGAAGAATTAGGACTTATTTATAAAAAACGTTTTCAAAAATACTTTCTTTCGTTTTAATATTTGAAAAATATTGTGAATTCTATTTTTATGGTTTTCGAGTTAATTTCAGTTTCACGTTGAAGTTTTTTTTTAATCATGGAACCTTGCAACGCGCAAACAAATGAGTTAATACACGAATATGAAATGTTTAAATTCACTCACGTATATGTTACATAATACAATCCATTCTTTTTGTTCAATTTCGTTCTCCAAATGCTTTGAACTTCGTATTGTCCTGGGGCGTTTGGGTCAAAGGGTGTGTCAAGGACCCCACATCTTGACCTTTGCATCTCAGTAACCGTCTCATCAGTGACAATTCCTGATTAAAAATATCAATTATTAATTATAATTATTCGTTCAATCAACTAATTTGCTATTTTGTTTGAACTAATCTGGCATCGTACATATTCTTCACACATTGTCATCACGCTAAAACTACCGTTGTTACATATTTTAAGACATATGGCATTGATTCAATCACTAGACCCAATATCAGTAATAGCCTACCAAGTATATATCTGTCTGTATTTTAGAACTGTTTGGTGAATTACCCCATTATTCATCATGAAATTGGTATCTGATCGTGGCAAACACAACAATTTTGTTTCTTTAACATTTGATCATATACACGTCAAACAGACACTTCTTATAATAACGGTATATCTATCCGGGTTTTTATAACCATCCTATTTTATTTACTTCAAAGAAACTGTGTATAACATTCATTTGTATGTTGTTAATAAAGGGATTGGTGACATACATGACCTTGAATTGCCATCTTCCTCAGTAACCATAGTAGCATCAAGGTAAACTTTGTAATTAAACTCTTGTGGGAATTCTCAGACGCGAAGAAAAATCTGTCATCGTTGTGTTCAACTACCGTAATGAGTTCAAGTACTGGGTCATCATGTCGAATGCCGTAGAAAAGTGCGCAGAATTTTGGTCATTGCGGTAAGTTGCCAAAAAGTACTATATTCGTGTGGCTATGATACTGGGAAACTAAAGGCATCTAAAGTGATAAAAGTTATGCAGTTGGATTGATTCCAGTCTTCGTTTAGAAAGCATTTTAACAACATAAACAGCGTGCATGCTTTCATACATTGACGATTTGAAATGCACTGAATTATCAGTATATACCTGAGGTTTCAATTCCAAGCATTTTCTGAACAGTAATGACGGAATCCACAAAATTGGGGTTTTCCTCCAATTCAACATCTGTTGACGAACTTGATCCATCTGATGAAGAAGCACCCATTCGAAAAGTATCAAAACTTTGTGTACCGTATTTATTTAAGAATTTGGTCATTTTCTGAATGTAAATGGTGAATAAAATTATTGTATTTCATTGTTAATAAAAATAATTTATCGCAGTTTTAATACTGACAGAACCTTTTAGAATAAAATGAAGTTAGAATAAAATGCAGCCTCTGTGATTGTATCGCTGTAATGTTTGATTTTGCTCATAGTTTCAAAATTATATAGATGCATTTATCGGTACGGGATAATGATAGCTATCGAGTAGTGCAGTCAAGTCTAGAATGATACTATCCCTAACCAGTTAACGATTTTACATTAAATTTCATTCAGCCAAATATCACTCAATAAATTTACAAATTTAATGCAATAAATTCAAATCGATACAAAACAACTATAGTGATTGTTTTTTAAATTTTTTCGTCTTGTAAAATTTGTCCATGACAAACCAATTATTGAATGACTGTTGAAAATTTTTGTATTTTGAGGATGGAAAAATTCCATGCTGAAAAGTAAGGAAAATAATTCTTGCAAGGCTTGGACAATACCTATATGTTAAACCATTTTAGTTCAAATGTATAATATTAAATAATACAATTTATTGTGAGCCCATTTCTTTAAGCTAATATTATATTTAGTATTACCACAAAATACATACCGAGACATTATCTTTTTGTACTGTGGGAGAAGCAGTTGCATAGTGAAGACTCATCAGCGCAGATATAAGCACTAAAAACGTTAACGACGACATATTTTTAAAGCTGCTGTACCGACTTGACGACAGGCTATAGAATATCAGATTATGATATCCAAGGGCTGACGACGCCCTTTTATAATGCCAAGGGGCCTTTTCTCACAAGTCTGCTCTCTTGCTCTCGCAGTTTCGTGATACATAAATTTCAACTGAGCGAAAGACGAGAGAAATTGATGCGAGGAAAAAATCTGACCCGATTTGCAAATTTTCTAAGCAATTTTTGAATTACTTGGCGGTGCAAAATATTACTGATCTAAAGGATATTTCTTGAATATTTATTGAAGTGAACTCAATGTTTTGGTGATTTTAGTATATCCGGAAGTGGTAAAATCCGACCGGAAATGGTGAGATAATAGCATGTAGCATATTATTGTTGTTTTTGTGACGATGACATCGAAGAGGATTATTTTTGACATCCGTCATATTTAATATTTCAAACGTGACTTTACAGAGCTGTAATTTAAACCCAATTTACCTTTGATTAAATGTGATCTGAACTAAATCAAGACATAATTACTTCATGGAACTTTAAGAAAACTAAAGAAATAAATGAAGTTCATTTTTTGTATTAGATGTTATTGAAAAAAATGCCTCGATTGCAACTTTGCGTTACGAAATTATGACATTTTCTGTGGTAATTTCAAAATACCTCCAAATATGGCAAGTGAAGTCAAAAATTTTGAGGCCTTGAGCATCTATGTCGATTATTGAACAATAAATATTCGTATACACCAACACACGACATAACGTTGATTGTTAAAAAACAATATTACTCAACATCATAAATCTTCGCTATTTCAAGAATGTATATTTAAATATTGTTGATGGATTCATTTATTACTAATTATTTGAAATTAATAAACAACAACTGGACGAATTTTTGTTTCATAATTTGGTGATTATGGGGCATCAAAATATACTTGACGATATAATGTGAAAACTTCGACGCAAAAGATTAGTTATTTTAAAAACATGTTGTAATCGCTTGACGGAATCGAAAATTTTCCAAAATTTATAACAGAATAATCCTATAGTAATGAAATAAGTGTGGTGCCGATTTTTTGTGGCTGACTATCCTCATTATATTTCTCATCAAAAAATATATTATCAGCAATAAATTATCATATATTCATGACCTTATTCTATTTTTTCATTCATAAAATTTATTTGTACACAGTTATGGGCGTTTCGATATGAAACTTGAGAGTAAAATACCAGAATATTACCATTATTTGGAAAGTGAACTAATTTCTCTTAACTGTTGAAAAGCTAGAAAATTTACTTTTACTTTCTAATGCTGAAATTCATTTGTTTTGTTAGATTATTCGATCTTATGAAATGACCTATGAAGTCGCAGGTTAGGTTAAATGATATAGGATTGTTTGGTGGGTAAATAAAAGATCCGATTTGAATGATTTCCGCTAAATTCAATTTCACATCGGTATCAAAATATCGTCAAAATTTCGAACAAAAATCAAATATTTTGTATGAAATTGTAAAAGTTGAATAGTATATTCACCTTAGAATAAAAAAACGGAGCAAGTTATGTCTCATGTTAGCACTTGACACGCATACGATAGACAAGAAAGGATTATGACTCTGTCCTTATAATTACGATTATAAAAAAAATCATTAAAAATGATATAGTGACACAGAATATATCATTCAAAATTGCCAAGAATGTTTAAGAATATGTTTATGCTTACCATGTTATTGCCATAACAATTTGATGGTTTGAGACGGTAGGAAATAGCTTATCGTCAATACATCACCCCGAGGCCTATAATCGTGACCGTCGCACCTTTAGTTCATTGCTACAGTTTTTTGCAGAAAGTTTAGTAAATTTGCACGTTTACTACATAAAGACACACATAAATCAGAATTTCTATTTTTCCTTTGGTATATTTCATTTTAAATATCAAAATTTTTCATAAAACCAAATACGATACAGAACATATAGTAGAGAACAGCTTATTATAGTTTAATTATAATTATTAACTTTTACGATCTGAAACTGGTTATTCACGTATCAAATTTGATCATGAATAATTCTCAAAAAATACATTAGATTTATATAAATACTATATATGGCCACACATTATTAACTTGCAATATGCAAAATATGACTCTACAGTACAACGACACTATAATGGAATGATAAGAAAAAATGTAACATAAAAATGACAATTTATTATAATAATAGCGATAAAATATAAATAAAATATATAAACGGTGAAAAGATAGAAATAGGTTTATATGAGTACCGAATCGTTTTTAAAAATAGAAAATAATATCTTGAATGTGTACGATTAAACTCGATGCAAAAAGTATTTTAACTTATTCGTTTAATTGACATTTTGGCAATTTGGCAATGGAAACTAAATTTGCAACCACAAAACTGGTCAGAACCGGTTCTTTCTAGATTACTGAACTTAGAAAATAAAAGCTTCAAATTTTTTGTATTTGTTCTTAACAAAGGTACTGTACGCTTGAGGATATAGCGGTTTTGAAAACACGAAAATACACTGTATGGTTTTGCTCCTAAATGAGTCAATTTAAAATAACTTTGTTGCTTCACATTGTCTATTCTTTCTTTGAGGATTAATCTTCTTTCTTGATGGCTGATCATGTGGCCAATGACAGTCATACATAACTTTCATTTTGCACTACTAAGATACTATTTTGAGTGTGAAGAAATTCAGTACTGTGACCATGATGAGCATGGTTACTGATACAAAACGGGAACTGCTGGCACCGTTGTCACCCCCATCTGTTTCCAAGTTATCAACCCCACATTTTGTTGGAATGAAGACATTCGTAGGCTCTTCTTGCCAACAACGGAAAAAGCTAAAATACAAAAAAATAACATTAAGTTTGTGTTGTAATATCGTGAAATTTAATATAAATCAGGAAAGCGAATAGAAATGTATTTTGAAGTATGTAAATTATTTTTGACAATGCAATCAATTACTGGAAATACCATCAATTTATACAATTTTTATGTCAGTACAAAACGATGGAAAAAATAGAAATAAACTTACTTATATGTTACATCTCTGGCAACGGGTTTTTCCGTATCTATGGCGGGCCAAAATACGTTTCCTTTCAGGAAATATGGAACATCTAAAGATGAGAAGAATTGTTTAAAAGCTACTTAAACCTGATTAACCCCTATTACTATTTTTATATAAAAATTACTTCTTCTGTTATAAAAATTACAGTTACAAGAATATTTGAAATATAAAAATCTACTGTTATAACGCAAACACTCTACCTCTATATTCAAAAACTGCATCTAAATCGCAGGCCGGAACTCCACCCCATTCTCCGATATCGGTGTTTGTTTTATTTTCCAGCGGCCACATCAAAATATCTCCCGTTTTGGGGTTTTTGATTTCCTTAAGAAAAAAAGACAATAAAAAATTATCATTTCCATACTGACAACTATTTGAAATAATACAACACTCATTCAATATTATAAATCAAAAATATTTTTATTTTGCTTCAGTGCACGTTTAGTTTTATGCAAATTAGCAAATTTCCATTAACTGGATTTTTCGTTGCGTCATAAATTTCTACTTTCGAGGCAAATTTTATGAAAAACAGATAAATACTTTCGTAATCAAAATCAAAAATCGTGCGATTGATAGTTTTGTCGCCCGTACAAAATAGTTGATGATTTTCTTTATTTGATCCTTAAGTGAATTGTGCCCATTTAAGCAAATTAAACAGGTATATTATTGTATTTGAGTTTTTACCTCGTACTGCCACATGTTACTCCCTCGAAACAAAGTGTGAATCGCCATTTTTCCATCTTCTCCGAGTTTTACATGTCCAGCATCTACCTTTGTGTGAGGGTATTGCGGATATAACTCATGTATTGAATGTGTTTTGTTGAAAAATAAGGTTCCCATTTCTTTACGATAAACGTGGACTTTTTTGTCTATGTTGAAGTAGAAAATATGTTTAAAAAGGTGAAAATGCATTGTTTGAAGAATACAGTGTGGTAAGTATTTGGTGTCATCGTAGCATTCATCCTCAAACATTTGATTTGAATATCCAGATAAATTTAGAGCAATTGGTCATTCTTCGTTCGCGAATTCCATAGCGAGAACGAATTTTAGGCAAGCGCAATTTGGATTTTGTTTTGTGAACGTTTCATTTTAATGCAGAATGAAACATGCAAAAAAACGAGACCAATATTTATTCAACGCACAGCAATCAATTCTAGTGGTCAATTATTTATAAACACTACCCTATTCTCGCCCAGAAATTACACGATTAAATTTACCTTCAAATGCCAAATATGTTTGATCTGAAATCAGTAGAGCATCGACTTTCTTTGTCTTGTGTAAGAAACTTTCATGTTCAATTGTAAATAATCCAGGTGCTATTGTTTTGGGGTCTGTTTCCCATCGGTAGGTACCCTTCAATTCGTCAGTATTGTTCAGCAAGGTATGCGTCCAATATCGCCGCGAAGATAGAGAAATATGACTTCGGAAGTAAAAGTCATCCTAAAGTTGTAAACAAGAATTCGGTATTAATCATCAAATCATTTGAAAAATTTGATTTGTTGTTTTCAATCAAGTCTTTTTAGAATTCGACAAAATTCAAACGCTTTAAGCTTTAATGTTCTTTGAAGCCAACTTAAAAATTATTTTGACCGATACCTAACTCAAAATTTAGTTTTAAATCGGCTTAAATTCGGCCGTTTATTGAAATAAAAATAAATAATGATTCATGTGATCTTTTAAACCAAATATGTTTTTTCAAGTTAATACAAACAATATTATACACTTGATAGTCTATGGTGGCCCATCGTTGTCACGCGTAAAATTGAAAATAAAAATAAAAAATAAAATAAAAAACCGAAAATGAAAAAATTGTTGTAAAAAAACATAAAAATAATTGAAAAAAAAAATGAAAAAAAAAATTAAAATTAAAAAAAAAAAATAAATAAAAACGAAAAAAAAAAAAAAAATAAAATTAAAAAAAAAAAAATTAAAAAAAAAAATTGAATAAAAAGAAAATAAAAAGGTTGACAACGATGGTCCGCCTCGTGGCCCATCGTTGTCAGGCGTTTTTATTTTTAGAAAATTTGCTTCTGCTTGGGACCAACGTTGTCAGGCATAATCCTACGCGCACAAATGTGTTGCCTGGGTTTCAAACTCACTACTGATTTTCTTGAGCAATATTCAATATGAAAATGTTCTATAAATTCTCCATGCTACAAGTTCTACAAGAAGTAATATATTTATAATAATGATAAGAGAATATAAAATTGAATACGAAAATTCGGAAAATTTGTTGTTACGTGTATAAGGTAATTTAATTGGAGAATGCTGCTTAACTACTCAGTTGGCTGGACACTCGCGATGCCAGTACCGTACCGTCTTACCAAATACCGGTAGTCGGTTATAGTCGCTTTGCGTCTGACCGTACCGGTAGCCATACAATCACTCATCATCTCCCATTCTTTCACGAGTGATTGCATGGGTACCGGTACGGTCAGACGATACCGTACCGGCATCGCACGAGTGTCTGAGCAGTTAAGCAGCATTTTCCAATTAAATTACCTTCTACACGTAAAAACAAATTTTCGTATCCAATTCTATATTCTCTTATCCTTATTATAAATATATTGCTTGTGGTTGAACTTGTAGCATGGAGAATTTATAGAACATTTTCATGTTGAATTTATTGGATATTGCTCGTGAAAATCAGTAGTGAGTTAGAAACCCAGGAAACACATTTGTGCGTGTAGGATTAAGCCTGACAACGTTGGTCCCAAGCAGCATCAAATTTTCCAAAAATAAAAACGCGTGACAACGATGGGCCACGAGGCGGACCATCGTTGTCAACCTTTTTATTTTCTTTCTATCCAATTTTTTTTTTCAAATTTTTTTTTTTTTTTTTAATTTTTTTTTTTAATTTTAATTTTTTTTTTTAATTTTTTTTGTTTGTTTTATTTTTCAATTTTTTTTTTAATTTCAATTTTTTTTTTTATTTCTTTTTTTCAATTATTTTTATGTTTTTTCACAACTATTTTTTTTTATTTTCGCTTTTTCATTTTATTTTTTCATTTTTTTTTAAATTTTACACGTGACAACGATGGGCCACCATAATAGTCTGAAAATATACTGTGAAAAATAATATATCAAAATCTCTTTAATTTTGGATCCTTCTAATTTAATTCTGTCATAATTATTAATTTACAAAATAGGATCCTCTGAGATTAAAACTGGTAACCATGATTGATATTTTACCGAGACATGTGTGATTATAAAATTATCTTATACAATAAGCTCATTACAAGTTTACTTTTAGAGGTTTAAACTTAATATTCCCTACTAGAGCTACTAAACAATGTCACACATACACTGTAACTAATCACATTATAAAACTCACGAATCTTCTTAATTCTGTCATTGTATTCAATTATTATTCAAATGTTTTTTTAAAGTGCTAAGTTAAAGAATGAAAAAGACTCGTGACAAAAATTTCACTAATTATCAACAACTAAAGCTGAAAAAATGAAACATTTATAAATGTGAATAGTTTTCACGTGAGAAATTCTCGCTTGCCAAATACTGATGTAGGTTTAAAAATTAAATTACGAATACAATTAACAAACCTTGAAAACTAAGAATCCAAAACCATTAGCAGTATCGAATGTCGTAGTCATTGCATCGAAATTTGCAATGTCACAAACTGATGCTCCTACTTTGTCAGGTGACTTCTTGTTGGGTACAGGACCTAGGTATCAAAATATAATTTGAATATTTCAGTTACAAAAGAAAACCACATATATAGTCATCATTGGAAAGGGCACACGAGCAGTGGTAGGACTTAGCCGGTTCGCACCGGTTCTATAGAACCGTCTCACGGATTTTTATAAGATCAGCGAACCGGTTAGCATTACTGGTTACTGTCAATGTTCTGTTTGTAACAGAACCGGCTGAAAAATATGAATTTTGTGATAGAACCGGCTGACAATAAATTTGAATCCCACCACACAAGGCAAAAGCAATACAATATAACTCATTTTTACCTGGACAGAATCCACATGTTTTCTTACAGTTTTTATGTAAAGTTTGAGCAAACATTGGTTCGGAACAATATCCTCGGGATTTCCACGACTCACATCGGTCTGCATGTTCATTTCGGTCTTCACATGGTATTTCTGTAAATTTTAATCTTATTTAATTCAGATTCTTTTCTTTGATATTTTAAAATCATGAAAGAGTTGATAACAGGTTAAGAAAACCATCACGAGTAAAATGTTGTTTTTTATTTTATTCGTACCGTAAACAGCAACCTTAGTAGCTTTAGTAGGTATCTTCCTGTTTTCAATCTTGTAACCGTACTTCTTTGCTTCTCGACAAGCGCTGTAGGTTTCAGCACTCGGGTCTGAGTCTGAAAACGGAATCCAAACATTTGAATACATTTTGAATATAGTAACAAACAGTGGGGCTCCAGAAGTATGCGCACCAAGATGTCGCACAGCCTGAATCCTGACCGGTACACACATACTATGTTCAGGTTGTGCGCTATCTTGGTGCGCATACTTCTGGAGGTCCCAATTTTTTTGCTTTCTCTAGCGATAACTTACATTTAGGATCGCCATACATTTTCGTTACACCTTTCATTTCATCTTCCAGCATGCGGAATTCATCAAAAGTACCGAGGTACCGATAATAAGGTGCCATGACAGTTCTAAAATACATATTAAAACCACAAATTAGTCATCTATAATGACAGATAAAATGAAATTTGGCAACAGTTCGAAAAATTAATATAATATCATACTTGTCGTCTTTGGAATGTAGTAAACCAATGATGTGTCCGAGTTCGTGTAACGCTGTAGTGTATACGTCTTTCTTTTTACGATCCTCTAAAATATGAAAATATAAAATAAATATTTCTGGTACAATAACAATTTATAACCAATCCTATAAATATTGTTCACGAATTGCGTCATACACTTATTATATCATAAGTAAACATTGAGTTGTAACGAAAAAATAGGTTTTTAATGTAAAGATTCATATTGTAAAATTTTTGTATTTTTATTTACTTACGATTTTTATCTGATGCCAAATACCAGGGTTCTTGGGAGTCGAAATGCAGGCGACCGTCTTCAGGATAAAAAGCATGAGCTAAAGTACCGCCATTTCCGTCAAAGGAATAACCATCACCGTGATCACCTGATAAAACAAAAAAAAAAGGTAACAGAATTCATTTTTGCAAGGAACAACCAATAAGAGAGATAAAAAAAATATAATATTTACCTTTTTCAAAAGTGATACTGATATCAGCGTTTTTCTTCCCGAGTCCAATATTTTTAAAACGAATGTTTGAAATCTCTTCCCATGAGCACATAGCCAATGTAACGCCTTTTTTGAAACTTTGAAATTTCAAGCCTTTCGGTGTCGACCGTTTTGGAAATCTGAAATACAAATTTGATGGTGTGAAAATTGTGTACATGTGTCATGAAATTCAGTTAATGGTAACAATTTTAAATTTTAGATATGGTCTATCTTTTGATAGGTCTTGCCTAAATCCGGCCAAATCATCACAATTTGAAGTTTAGAAACCTGAGATTAGTTTAGCTGACTTGGTACATTTGAAAGTAGTAATCTCCAGAAAAATGTGATGTTTTTATTAATCATGTTTGGCCAAATATACCCAATAAAAAGTAATCGGAGAATTAGGACTTATTTATAAAAAACGTTTTCAAAAATACTTTCTTTCGTTTTAATATTTGAAAAATATTGTGAATTCTATTTTTATGGTTTTCGAGTTAATTTCAGTTTCACGTTGAAGTTTTTTTTTAATCATGTAACCTTGCAACGCGCAAACAAATGAGTTAATACACGAATATGAAATGTTTAAATTCACTCACGTATATGTTACATAATACAATCCATTCTTTTTGTTCAATTTCGTTCTCCAAATGCTTTGAACTTCGTATTGTCCTGGGGCGTTTGGGTCAAAGGGTGTGTCAAGGACCCCACATCTAGATCTTTGCATTTCAGTAACCGTCTCATCAGTGACAATTCCTGAATAATTATTAATTATAATTGTTCATTCAATCAACGAATTTGCTATTTTGTTTGAACTTATCCGGAATCGTACATATTCGTTACACATTGCCATCACGCTAAAACTACCGTTGTTACATATTTTAAGACATAGGCATTGACTCAATCAATATACCCAATATCAGTAGTTGCCTACCAAGTATATATCTGTCTGTATTTTAGAACTGTTTGGTGAATTTCCCCATTATTCATCATGAAATTGGTATCTGATCGTGGCAAAGACAAATATTTTGTTTCTTTAACATTTGATCATGTACACGTCAAACCGACTCTTTTTGTAATAACGGTATATCAATCCGGGTTTTTATAACCATCCCATTTTATTTACTTCAAAGAAACTGTGTATAACATTCATTTGTATGTTGTTAATAAAGGGATTGGTGACATACATGACCTTGAATTTCCATCTTCCTCAGTAACCATAGTAGCATCAAGGTAAACTTTGTAATTAAACTCTTGTGGGAATTCGCAGACGCGAAGAAAAATCTGTCATTGTCGTGTTCAACTACCGTAATGGGTTCAAGTACTGGGTCATCATGTCAAATGCCGTAAAAAAGTGCGCAGAATTTTGGTCATTGCGGTAAGTTGCCAAAAGTACTATATTTGTGTGGCTATGATACTGGGAAAGTAAAGGCATCTAAAGTGATGAAAGTTATGCAGTTGGATTGATTTCAGTCTCCGTTTAAAAAGCATTTTTCAACAACATAAACAGCGTGCATGCTTTCATACATTGACGATTTGAAATGCACTGAATTATCAATATATACCTGAGGTTTCAATTCCAAGCATTTTCTGAACAGTAATGACGGAATCCACAAAATTGGGGTTTTCCTCCAATTCAACATCTGTTGATGAACTTGATCCATCTGATGAAGAAGCACCCATGCGGAAAGTATCAAAACTTTGTGTACCGTATTTATTTAAAAATTTGGTCATTTTCTGAATGTAAATGGTGAATAAAATTATTGGGTTTTATTGTTAACAAAATTAATTTATCGCAGTTTCAATACTGACAGAGACTTTTAGAATAAAACGAAGTTAGAATAAAATGCAGCCTCTGTGATTGTATCGCTGTAATGTTTGATTTTGCTTATAGTTTCAAAATTATATAGATGCATTTATCGGTACGGGATATTGATAGCTATCGAGTAGTGCAGTCAAGTCTAGAATGATACTATCTCTAACCAGTTAACGATTTTACATTACAATTCATTCAGCCAAATATCACTCAATAAATTTACAAATTTAATGCAATGAATTCAAATCGATACAAGACAACTATAGTGATTGTTTTATAAATCTTTGTCTTGTAAAATTTGTCCATGACAAATCAATTATTGAATGACTGTTGAAAATTTTGTATTTTGAAGATGGAAAAATTTCATGCTGAAAAGTAAAGAAAATACTCTTTGCAAGGTTTGGACAATACCTATATGTTAAACCATTTTAGTTCAAATGTATAATATTAAATAATACAATTTATTGTGAGCCCATTTCTTTAAGCTAATATTATATTTAGTATTACCACAAAATACATACCGAGACATTATCCTTTTGTACTGTGGGAGAAGCAGTTGCATAGTGAAGACTCATCAGCGCAGATATAAGCACTAAAAACGTTAACGACGACATATTTTCAAAATTGCTGTACCAGCTTGACGACAAGCTATAGAATATCAGAATATGATATCCAAGGGCTGACGACGCCCTTTTATAATGCCAAGGGGTCTTTTCTCACAAGTCTGCTTTCTTGCTCTCGCAGTTTCGTGATACATAAATTTCAACTGAGCAAAAGAAGAGAGAAATTGATGCGAGGAAAAAATTCGACCCAATTTTCAAATTTTTTAAGCAATTTTTGAATTACTTGGCAGTGCAAAATATTACTGATCAAAAGGATATTTCTTGAATATTTATTATAGTGAACTCAGTGTTTTGGTGATTGTAGTATAATCGGAAGTGGTAAAATCCGACCGGAAATGGTGAGAGAATAGCATGTAGCATATTATTGTTGTTTTTGTGACGATGACATCAAAGAGGATTATTTTTGACATCCGTCATATTTAATATTTCAAACGTGACTTTACAGAGCTGTAATTTAAACCCAATTTATCTTTGATTAAATGTGATCGGAACTAAATCAAGACATAATTACTTCATGGAACTTTAAGAAAACTAAAGAAAATGAAGTTCATTTTTTGTATTAGATGTTATTGAGAAAAATGCCTCGATTGCAACTTTGTGTTACGAAATTATGACATTTTCAATGGTAATTTCAAAATACCTCCATATATGGCAAGGGAAGTCATAAATTTTGAGGCCCTAAGCATCTATGTCGGTTATTGAACAATAAATAATCGTATACACATAAACCAACACACGACATAAAGTTGATTGTTAAAAAACAATATTACTCAACATCATGAATCTTCCCTATTTCAATAATTTATATTTATATATTGTTGATGGATTCATTTATTACTAATTATTTAAAATTAATAAACAACAACTGGACAAATTTTTGTTTTATAATTTGGTGATTATGAGGCATCAAAATATACTTGACGATATAATTTGAAAACTTCAACGCAAAAGATTAGTTATTTTAAAAACATGTTGTAATCGCTTGACGAAATAAAAAAATTTCCCCAAAGTTTATAACAGAATAATCCTATAGTAATGAAATAAGTGTGGTGCAGATTTTTTGTGGCTGACTATCCTCATTATAATTCTCATCAAAAAATATATTATCAGCAATAAATTATCATATAATCAAGACCTTATTTTATTTTTTCATTCATAAAATTTATTTGTACACAGTTATGGGCGTTTCGATATGAAACTTGAGGATAAAATACCAGAATATTACCATTTTTGGAAAGTGAACTAATTTCTCTTAACTGTTGAAAAGCTAGAAAATTTACTTTTACTTTCTAATGCTGAAATTTATTTGTTTTGTTAGATTCTTCAGATTGTCAAACATGGGCTGCGGATGAGACGAGCCTTAGTATGGCGCTTTATTATCACGTAACAATAATTGGCTGCTTATGACGTTTTAATAGTATGAATAGTCTATTATATTATCCCATTTTCTGTTTACGATGTTCATTGATGAAATCAAAAATATTTTTACAAATGACATATTATGTCACGTGATTTTCACAACTCGATGCAACGATAAATTAATCATACATCTATGGCGAAATAACCCCAGGTTTCCCTGAAATGACACTTACAATTAAAAATCACGTATTGACCCCATGGGTGCAATTCAAACTTTTCACATGTATTCCATTTTCGACGTAATCAAACGGGGAAAATCCTTTATCAGCGACGATGATAAAATCATCAAAATTGTCATGATTGACATGATTTGTCACCGCTGATCATAAATGTAGAGACATGAATTTTTAGGATGATTTGGCAAAGCAAAACCTAATTATAGAAAGTCACATTATTTGGTGTCACAAAACGTGAAAATTTGCTAATTCGAAGGGTTAAATTTGTCAAAATGTATCACGCCTTCAATCATCCCAAACACCCCAATTCACCCATCCGGGAAACGTAATAAAATCAAGGGTGTTCATTTCTGATACTGATACAGATTGGGCCGTTTCGGGTTCAAAATTGAGTCATAAATATATTGTTATTTTGACGCGACAGAGCGTAAACAAGCCACGGCTGTTTGCGTGTTTCACGCTAAGGCCGTCAAAAGTGACGTAAATGCATTCCACGGACACGACACAATCTTTACTGAACAATGATAAATCTCGTAGTTGTGGTTTAACATGGATTAAGGCTTAAAATAATTATGATTTTTATTATTCGTGATTCATGTCTCTTAGAGGTAAATGACCAGTGTCATTTGGGTAAAAATTAGTTAGGAGAAAATGATATTATGCAAACATGTTTCAGAAACCAAATTTATCAATTATCACAATTATATTTTTATATTTTGTTTTAAATAAAATAATGAAATTTTAAGGTTGTTTAAAGCAATTAGAGTCTTTTAAAAAGCTTTCAAAATTAGTTATTATATAAACCGTTGCAATTAGACAAATTCATTGTGACTGTCAATATCAAATAACAAACCACCATTTTTACGGTCTTTGAAAACACAATGATGCATTTTATGTGATAGAAAATAACCAGTAGCTTGGGGATTTTGTATTACCCCAATGCAATTAAAAAAAAACTCAAAATCCAATAACGAATTCTTACTAGCAAAAAATATTCTTAATTTGGTGAATGGTTAAAACAGTTAAATTTCGAATTTTTTCATTATGGATTTGATACCAAAAGTTCAATTTTAAGAAGATAATGCATAAAAATTTTATTTTTAGATCAAACACATTGTAAAACTACAATTTCAGCAAATGTTTGGGAACAACGAAATTACACAAATCAATGCCGGCGGTGGTCACGTTTCGCGGTCAGCATTGGGCGTGACTCTCTGATTTACAAAGTTTTCTTGTAAAAAATATCCGAAATTGTGGTATTAAAAGAATTATTCTTGCTAAGTCATGATTTTGAGATTAAAATTTGAACAATGGCAAAATACTATATCTTTTTAATAGTATTTAATGATAACATGGATTTTAATAGCAAAAGTTGCTGCCTATGCTAAAAGTGGTCTATTAAATTTCCGTATTGGTAAAAGTTTATTTTCTTTAGACATGTTTCACTACATAAGCGGAAGACCACAATTTTTTATAAATAAAATTGAAAATTGTCGATGGACTATATTTCGACGTTCGATATAATTGGCTTTTCTGATGTTATCGGTCGAAAAACCATCGCCATTTACCACCGATCATACAAAGGCGATCAAAAACTTAACTTCTTGAGAGTGGATATTATGTGGTTTAAATCTGTTTAACGTTGACTGGAAATAGCAATAAGGCCGTAAAACATAAACAATGAGTATAATTCTAGAATTTCCCGTTCCTGATTTTTGTTATGTTTTACCTAAAATTGAGTGATTTGGATTTGATATAAAACAGCTAACAGGGCAGTTTTGAACAATTGTAAATAAAACATATGTTTTATAATATTAGTCACAGGTAATTGAGTCAGTTATATTATTTTTAACAGCGGTTACGATTTGTAGAGACAACTTGATTGAATTTTGTTCTTTGTTCACAATTGCCAATACTAGAAACTCCTCTGTTTGTTTGTTTTATGTCGTCACCCAGGTAATGTCTGAGTTATTGTCTGTATTGAAAAACTTGTAAAAAAAATTCAAGTGCGATACTGGCAAAAACAAAATAATAACATGAAAATACAATTTAATTCATCAACTTATGCACAGTTGAAATATGTACTCATTCCAAAGAATTTGAAACGGTAGCCTACTAGTAATACCTGGGATACTGGTATTGTTCTAGGAATCTGTTTGTCGTAGCAACTGTATTAGGAACAAAGAAAATAACTTGTCAAAACCACAAACAAGATTTACAATTTCCCGTATATAGTTCTCTGAGTGTGTCAGCCATTTTAATGAAAAACACGACATGGTCAATTTGCTACTTAAGTAGTATCAGTGAGCCTTTGCGTCAAAGCCACTGATAACGTGGTAATTTCGATTCATCAATTTTGGCGCCAAAATGTTGTCAAATTGAATCGTAATAGCCATGTGAGAATTTAGGATTTAGGAGTATTATTTACTGCATCATACTCGTACTGTACAAACAGGTCTAAAGCCAACTGTATCAATCTCCGTAACCCAACTTGTATTTAAATTTTCCAAGAAAATCCCGCCGTTGCAGAAAAACAAGGGAAAGTTTTTTTTGTAATGAGAAATGTACGTTTTTATTCAAATTTCGATACCAAAATATTATTAATGACTTACAACCAAAAAAAATTAGCGAAAAGGATAGTTTTTGTATCGAGATAATATTTTTGGGAGAAATGTATCAAACGACATAACGTGCGAAACTCTCCTCAACAAAAATTGTGAATCGAATTCTTATCACAACACAACAACATAATTAATTGTCTTGTGTGAAGAACAAAACCAATTCTCATATTTTGTTGCTCTGTTGCTCGATATTCCCTATGGCCGATTCTAATGGTTCCTGAAACGTTAACACTTATCCCGAAATGAAGATTAGCAAAAAATTAGCATTGTGTTACGGTGAATTGTCTTGATAACGAATGTGCAATAAATCTTGGTTACGGAATTTTGATGTCATTTGAGATTGCATGAAAATTTTACGACAACACTGGATACGTGGTAATAGATTTATTCATTTGAAATTTCAAGTAGGCTGCAACTTACGAAATCGTCATATAGTAGTTGGAAGAATGAACAAGCGCAAGTAAACACATATGAAATAAATATTTTCATCAGATAATTTTAAACTATGTTAATATATTAGGAGTTACTTGGAACAAATTCTGTCATTTTTGAGTAGACTCCAAAGAATGTCAAACATTCATAAATAAATATTTCATTATACGGTTTCCTGAATTCCGATGTGTAGCAGCATTGTACAAAAACTCCCAGGATAGACTGATGTTTTTATTTTATTCAAATTCAATAAAATATTTCTCAAAATACGATCAAAATGACGTATACACGACTTATTGAAAAAACATCTTTCAAAGTTTAATTTGCATTTGATGGTACGGCCAAAATTTAACATAGAGTATTTTATTTCTGATAAAATAATCGAATCTGC